TCGTGGCACATCCAAGGGGAGATCAAAGTCTAAAGGGAGAGGTTGTTTTTATTGTGGGAAGCTAGGTCATATCAATAAAAATTGTTGGGCATTGAAGAAAGAGCAAGCTGGGAACAAACATGAAAAAAGATGAGAAGAAGAAAGCTAACAGTGACACTACAATTACTTTGTCTGAGACTGATATTATTCAAATTTGTAGGGAAGAAGACTGAATGAAGAAGACTGTATGCATGTTGCAAGTCAGAATTCCTAAGTTAATCATTTTAATTTCACAGGCTATATACACTAAGTAGGGCTTTTCTCTAGGAAAATTTAGTTATTAGCAAATTACAGGTAGAGTTCCATTCGAGAGAAAAAAAAAATTATGCAGGGGTTATGAACAGAACCCCTTATAGTTCATGGGGCTTTGCTGAAATTATCCCTTCTTTCACACAGAAAAAATGCCTTCCAGTTCAATGTTTTCAAACAGAATTTATTTTTCCCCCCTTGGTAGATTTCAAAGTATTAATGCTAAATGAAGAATTCTCTTCCATATCTTATTGATGTGTTTGTGGTTGGGAAAGTTTTAAAGGCCCGACTAAAAGCTGACTTAAATGCCGGATTAATTGGTGTGAGATTATTATGATTAGTGGTTTTCTTATACAGATGAAGAGTCAAAACCTCTCCTACAAATATCTCCTTACTGCTAAAAGTGAAGCGTGCAGTCTTGAAATCAAGTCCAGCTTCGCAGTAGCGAGCAAATCACTTGTAGAAATCATTTTTTGTACTTTAAATTTTTCAAGGGTGTTATTACATACAAGGATGAGCTATCTTCAAAGAGCCGCTGAAGTCTCAAAGTTAAAGTCATGTCTTGTATACATTCATATTTGATCTACGGATTATTTTATTCATATAATTTTGAGAATCAATAAAATCTTACAAAAGAGTCGCACCATCTAAATCACACTCTTAGATAACAATTCTAGTTGTGCCCCTGCATTTAGCCTTTACTTGGATGCCCCTTACTTGGATGCCCCTTATCCTTCAAGCTTCAAGTTACGTCTCATCTTTAAACTTACATGAGCAAGAATTCTACTGCAACTTATAATCTGCTGGTATCACAAGCCCACATGAGAATAGGGGTGAGCAACGGGACGAGATGGCTCGTCCCACNACGAGCCAGCTCGCACGGGCTCGATGGCGCTACGAGGTGATCCACGACCCGCAATAAGATAAGTGTACCATGTTGTATCGTTTTTTTACGGGCTTAGACTTCAGCCCAACCCACTCACGGGACAAGGTTAAGCGAGGCAGGCCATGACACGTGCCAGCCCGCACAACCCACCATGTTTTATTATTATTTTTTGGATTTTATAAATGATTTTTAGTTTATTAAATAGTTTTTAAGCATTGTTTAACACTTAAAAATTATATGTAATTAACTAACAATGCAACCATTATAGAAATAAAAAATAATTTTATTAAGTAAACTTATATATTTGTATAGAATGATAGAGAGAAATATCACAAACATAAAAGATTTTATGTGGTTCGGAGCAAGTCCTACTCCACGGCAGCAACTAATTGTTCTACTATTTTAAAAATATAGGAATAAATTACAACAAGCTTTAAGCAAATAAAAATGGTAAAATTGCCAGATTGGTATATTTTGTAGACACTAGGTGATAGATTGGTATAATTTTTTTAACTTTTATCAAATTGATATATAATGTAGCATCCAGCGCTATATACCCCTTAAGTTTGGCCGGATCTAAATTTTCCGGCCAGTTTTATCACGTGACAGCTCACGTGATGCCCAGCTGGCAGGATTTATTACACAAAACCCCCTTATAATCCAAACTCCTAATAAAAACCCCCTCATCCTCTTCCTCCTCCCCCTCTCCCTCCTCCTCCTCATCCTCTTCAACCTCTCCCCATCATCCACGCCCGCCAGCTAGGAGGAGGGGGTTGAAGAGGATGATGAGGGAGAGGTGGAAGAGGATGAGAGGGTTTTTAGTTAGGAGTATGGATTATGATGGAGTTTTGTGCAATAAATCTCGCCAGCTGAGCATCACGTGAGCCGTCACGTGATAAAACTGGTCGGAAAATTTAGATTCGGCCAAACTTAAAGGGTATATGGCGCCAGAGGCTACATTATATGCCAATTTGACAAAAGTTAAAAAAATTATACCAATCTGTCACCTAGTGTCTACAAAATATACCAATCTATCCATTTTGCCAAATAAAAATAGAAAAAATACATCAACTTGTAAAATAAAATCAATTGAAAAGGCTATAGAGATAATTGAGGGTAAATTACATTAAACCCCCATGAAATTTAAGCATTTTGCATTAAAACCCTACGAACTTTCAAAATCGCACTACACCCTCAATAACTTTTTGGAATTGTAGAAAACCCCTAATAACTTTCCGAGTTTTGTAGATAACTTCCATAAATTAGAACAAAAGAAAACCCCAAAATAAAAGGTATTTTGATAGTTATTGGGTGTCTAGTATAATTAACCCAAAATATGTTGTGGGTTTTCTACAAAAGTTTTTAAAGTTTCGTGTGAATTTGAAGTGCATTGCAACATGGGGGTTTACCTGCAACTAGAAGTTCATGGGAGTTTCGTATAATTTATCCTAATTAATAATATCTTTTTGGGCATGCGATCCAACGAGACAGGTAAAGCGGGCCAGCCCACTTATATGTAGGCTCATCTTGCTCACTGGGCCGAGCGAACCGCCGGCCCGCTTGTTACTAGAGGCC